TCATGGGGGAGCTAATGCAGCAAGTTTTGCCGGACTTGACAACCATTTTCCAACATGATTGTTCCTAGCATGGTTTGTTGAAATATTGCTCAGACCTAAGGTGAATAACCGTTTGGGGTGCCTCTTGCAAGCTAGAATCACAAGCATATCAGATCACCTTGTCTCATAAATTATTTGTTATTCATCTACTTATGTTCTCATAATGTTCTGTTTTGTCCAAGTTCCAGGCCCCTGCCTGGCTCAATTAATTGCTAGTTTGGCAAGGAGTTTGAGAAATGTTATACCCTTACTGCGATAAACAGTGTCCTATATAAAATATACAAGTGCTTTTTATTGAACACCAGAACATAAGGAAGAAATAGTGATGCCAGCAGAGAACGGAAACACGTTTCTGACAGACAGACCACTTTGGCCCCAGGCAGATGCAAAGGAATACTGTAATATCAGCACCAGCACAACTTTGTCATCATGACATGGCACTTTTGCTTTCCACAAACATTCCAGCGTGCACGCTTAAAACTTAGTCTCTTCAAATGGTTGAGGATGTAAAACTCCATCCCTCAAGTTTCTTGGGGAAACCAAACGCAACAGAAGCATGAACATAGAGGAAATTCATGTTTAAATTAGAGTGAATTCTTGTGGAAAACATTTTTGCTGCATTCACCCAGCTGTAATTATCTGATGACTGCTCAATGAGTTTTGGGAAATAAATTGATGCCCAGAGGGAGAAAACACTGCAACTTCACAACACAGCACAGGATGTACTGTATTATATTCAGGTTCTTAGACCAGAGAATCTGAGCACCTGCATCATTTAGTAAGCAGAAACAAGTCTGAATAGTCTGCCCAGCTCATCATCTCTAAGATGTATAATGTGTACTCAAACTTTTATCCTGACTCCCAGAACTTCTGACACTCTTCCTTTACTACAGATAGGATACAAGGTACTTGAATAAGAAATTTAACCTTGGTGACATGTAGAGTTTATTAAAGACTGGCGGTAATACCATTAGAATCAGATGATGTATGACTGGACTGAATCAACTGATGAAGGACAAAGACAGTCTTCACATTTAATTGATTGGTTATCTTTTCTGTTGCTGTGTGGAGTTTTACTAACTAGACATATAAAAGGTTTCTTAAAGTGCCTTTGGCAGAATGAAGCAAATATGAAGCATATTGCAACATTAGGCTCATGCAATGGGCCAGATCGCGTTTGCCATGTTTAGACAAGTAAACCCATTGAAGACAATGGGATTTGCATGAGTAAAAGGAACAGGATTTAACCTGACGTCTGAAAGATACTTTGGATGGGTTTCATACACCTGCTGCTACATTTTATTTATTTTATTTTCATAAATGATCTGGAGGATGGTGTGGATTGCACTCTCAGCAAATTTGCGGATGATACTAAACTGGGAGGAGTGGTAGATACGCTGGAGGGGAGGGATAGGATACAGAAGGACCTAGACAAATTGGAGGATTGGGCCAAAAGAAATCTGATGAGGTTCAATAAGGATAAGTGCAGGGTCCTGCACTTAGGATGGAAGAATCCAATGCACCGCTACAGACTAGGGACCGAATGGCTAGGCAGCAGTTCTGCGGAAAAGGACCTAGGGGTGACAGTGGGCGAGAAGCTGGATATGAGTCAGCAGTGTGCCCTTGTTGCCAAGAAAGCCAATGGCATTTTGGGATGTATAAGTAGGGGCATAGCGAGCAGATCGAGGGACGTGATCGTTCCCCTCTATTCGACATTGGTGAGGCCTCATCTGGAGTACTGTGTCCAGTTTTGGACCCCACACTACAAGAAGGATGTGGATAAATTGGAGAGGGTCCAGCGAAGGGCAACAAAAATGATTAGGGGTCTAGAACACATGACTTATGAGGAGAGGCTGAGGGAGCTGGGATTGTTTAGCCTGCAGAAGAGAAGAATGAGGGGGGATTTGATAGCTGCTTTCAACTACCTGAAAGGGGGTTCCAAAGAGGATGGCTCTAGACTGTTCTCAATGGTAGCAGATGACAGAACGAGGAGTAATGGTCTCAAGTTGCAGTGGGGGGAGGTTTAGATTGGATATTAGGAAAAACTTTTTCACTAAGAGGGTGGTGAAACACTGGAATGCGTTACCTAGGGAGGTGGTAGAATCTCCTTCCTTAGAGGTTTTTAAGGTCAGGCTTGACAAAGCCCTGGCTGGGATGATTTAACTGGGAATTGGTCCTGCTTCGAGCAGGGGGTTGGACTAGATGACCTTCAGGGGTCCCTTCCAACCCTGATATTCTATGATTCTATGATTTGTTGTAGTTTAATATAAAAATGCTTCCTAAGGCCATTTAAAGTATGCCTAGTATATTATTTTCAGGTGTTGAAAGGAGGATTGATGTCTGAGAGGAGCCTATAGCAGGGTGAGGCAGGTGAGGAGTATGCATACTGAAATCTCTAGCTGACTCTACCACATATTACATAAAAATTCCAGTTTTTACCGGGTGTCCTCATTACATCCCCTTAGGCTCACAGAGAAAACATGTTTGTCAAACATTAAATAAAAACAAATATTGCTTTTCAAAAGTGAGCTTGAGCTATCAACCCTTCACATACTGGCCTCTGTTGAAGTCAGTTAGGTGAATTTAGCACTTGCTACAGGTGGTGGATAAACAGCACTGGAGACTAATGTTCTCTCTCTATGTAAAGTGTGCTAGGCATCGCCGCTGTGCAAGCTTTCGCAGGTGGTCCTGACCAAAAATCCCACTTCTCTCTCTTTTATTTTTTTAAATAAAGAAAATGGGCCGGATTCTCTATTCTCTTGTATCGGTTTATACCAGTGTAACTCCACTGGCTTTGATGCAGTCATACCAGCATAAAAGTGGTGTTGAAAAATCAGGCCCTTGCTTCTTTGTCTTCATTTGCAGTTCTATTTTGATGTGCTCAAAGTAAATCTTCAAGCTCAAGTAAATTGAAGTGTACAGTTATTTGCCAAGAAAATAAGAACCAAGAAAATGCATAAAAATACAAAGGGTTGCATCTTCCATAGGAAACTGTAGAGATGTTCGGTGAAATAATTTCTCTATTGTTCAATGGCCAGAGCACTCTTTCCAAAGACCATGCCTCCGATAGCACATCCACATTCATTATAGAAATATAGCAAGCCGCATTGTTCTCTGTACAAAACATTTCCTCTTGCCCTCTTGTAGGGATTTTTCAATTACTGTAATACTTTCATAAGAGAAGGGGAGGTGGACGCTTTCAGGGGATATTTCAATGATGTTTCACTCACACCTCCTCCATCCATGCAGCGGAACAAACCCCCCTTTAGCCATGTGTGTGCTCTACTTTTCATCACACTTCTTTGCTCTTCTTCCCTACCACTTGAGTATGAAGCACCCTCAGCATGTCAGCAGGCATTTTCTTTTCAAACCCCTACCCTACACTTTTCCTCTTATCATAAGCGTCTAAGTACCATTCAAAAACAAGAAAAGAAGCTACAAGATCGTCCTGACTGATTATGCTCTACTCCAGCTGCCCTTGACATCTTTGCTGTTGCCAAACAATGAGATGGTAAATATTGCTGGGGGTGTGGGGTGAGGTCATGGGCATAACACAGCACTTGTACCTATTTCAGAATCATTCAATCGCACGTTGCCATTCGAAGAATATAACTGATTTACTGCAAGTAAATGCTCCATGGAGAATTGGCTTAAATTTCAATGGAAATTTTTTCAAAATGTTGACAAAAAATGGCAGATTTTGGTGACATTTTTTAGCAATGCCCCTGTTTGCTTTTTAGTCTGTTTTTGACTAGCTCAAACAAGAGGTATTCCTATGATGGTCTAGTAAAGCAGTTCAGTTTCCTGAACACCCGGGGAACCACTAATATTTCATTTGTACCAGTTAAATATTTTGTTAGTTAGAGCACATACAAAGAAGTTGCACAGCTACAGACTAGGGACCGAATGGCTAGGCAGCAGTTCTGCGGAAAAGGACCTAGGGGTGACCGTGGACAAGAAGCTGGATATGAGTCAGCAGTGTGCCCTTTTTGCCAAGAAGGCCAATGGCATTTTGGGATGTATAAGTAGGGGCATAGCCAGCAGATGGAGGGAAGTGATCGTCCCCCTCTATTCGACATTGGTGAGGCCTCATCTGGAGTACTGTGTCCAGTTTTGGGCCCCACACTACAAGAAGGATGTGGATAAATTGGAGAGAGTCCAGCGAAGGGCAACAAAAATGATTAGGGGTCTGGAACACATGATTTATGAGGAGAGGCTGAGGGAACTGGGATTGTTTAGTCTGCAGAAGAGAAGAATGAGGGGGGATTTGATAGCTGCTTTCAACTACCTGAGAGGTGGTTCCAAAGAGGATGGTTCTAGACTATTCTCAGTGGTAGAAGAGGACAGGACAAGGAGTAATGGTCTCAAGTTGCAGTGGGGGAGGTTTAGGTTGGATATTAGGAAAAACTTTTTCACTAGGAGGGTGGTGAAACACTGGAATGCGTTACCTAGGGAGGTGGTAGAATCTCCTTCCTTAGAAGTTTTTAAGGTCAGGCTTGACAAAGCCCTGGCTGGGATGAGTTAATTGGGGATTGGTCCTGCTTCGAGCAGGGGGTTGGACTAGATGACCTTCAGGGGTCCCTTCCAACCCTGATATTCTATGATTCTATGATTCTAAGTTGGCAAGCTAGTTGCCAGTGCAGATCATGGCATGCCCGAGAGAACTGCAGTTATGATACACCAGTGACTTTCTAAACACAGAGACACATCACTTAAGGATAAAGTAAGAAGAGGATCCTAGAAACATTATGAGGAAAAAAAAATGATCATATATGTGCTACTGCATACTAAAAGGATACGTATGGTATGCTGTACAGGATCTTGGCAAGTGTTACTTTATTTTCCATAGAGAGAACTGAGCCAAATACAAGTAAATGGTGCACCATTTTCTTACAGCAGTTGAACATTATAGTAGTCTTTAACAATAGGTATTTCAGGATAAATTCTGCTCTTGGTTGCAGTCGGACTACTCCATCTGAGTCAATGGGACTGCCCTGTGCCTACAAGAAAAGATGTGTGCAGTGTTGCTGTGTCAGACCTAGGATATTAGCGCGACAAGGTGGGTGAGGCAATATCTTGTATCAGACCAACTTCCATTGGTGAGAGAGATAAGCTTTCGAGCGACATACCCAGAACTCTTCTTCAGGTCTGGGAGACTTACTCAGAATGTCACAGCTAAATGCAAGGTGGAACAGATTGTTTAGCTACTTATGTTTTGCAATCTGTTCCACCTTGCCAAGATCCTCACACATCTTGTCTCTCTCTAATATAAAAGATGTCTAGTGTTATACCAGGGTCCTGGGTGACTGGACTAATGACTTCTGTTTCCTTTTCTCTCAGGAGCTGCTGTGTGGGCAAGTCACCTGACCAGTCAGTGCATCAGTTTCCCTCATTTGCTTACACAAGTCGAGAACATGAAGTCCTTACACGCACGCAAAGCTCTTATTGGCACTTGCTTCCCGTGAACATTTATTATAACCTTCCCCCACCCACCCACAAGTCGTCTACTTGCCTGAAGCAGCTTCCTTCCTTTTTTCTTTTGGTTTGAGATGCTGGACTAGAGAAAGGGGTCACATGTGACTAGCTTAGCCTATTGAATTTAGATAATCTATCAGATTCAGCAGGTATTTGCAGACTGATATAAACAACAGCCTTTCCCACAGAACGCTCCCGCTGCACCTCACTTATAAAGTACGTCTTTTTATTACAAATATGAGACTATATAGAGATCTACAGGATGAATGTTTAAAATATGGTTCTAGTTTTGTTAGTCACTGTTTAGAACTGTTATTCCTACATCAGCATTAAGGAAAGCAAGTTGTTTGCTACTTACGATTATTGGTTTTTCATTTAATTAAAGGCTTAGCCTTATGCTCCAGTATCCACAGAGCCAGTTAATGCTTAATTGATATTGTGATATTCATTTCTTCATTGCCTTGTGTAGCTGCAAGGGGAGGGGTAGGAACTCTAGATCTGGGGCTGGGGTGGGGTGAGTTAAATAGTACTATGAATCCACAAAAAGATTTCTCAGTCATCCCCGTCTGGTTGCCGAAAGGGGATTAGAGAGGACTAGAAATGTTGGTACCTTGGATCCTGAAAACACACCTGTGCATTGTTTGTGAGCAAGGCTGGATTAAGGTAACTGGTGCCCTACACAAACCAGGAAATGGATTTCCATCTCCCATGGCCCTGCTCTGCTGCCCTCCCCTACACTGTGACACCCACCCCCACTCAGAGCGGCAATAGTAGGGAACCTTCTATCCTTCCAGACAGGCAGAGGCAATAAGCCCCCCACACCCCACCCCACTATCAACAGTAGTAGGTGCCCTCTTTCCTCACCAGAGGGTCTGGGGGCATCAGCTGGAGCCTAGTACTCACATCCTTGTTGTGGGGTATGTGCTTGGATGCGTGGGCATGGCCCATTGCACTCTTCTCCTCTTCCCACACACAATCTTCATTTGAAATGGGGCAGGGTTAACACTGTACTGAGGTGACGAGGCCATTTCACACCTCTCAGAGCTATTGTTTCCGATTGTCTGCAGACACTACTGCACTGGTTACACGAGTCACATTTTCAAGCTTCTCTTTCCCAATAACGAGTGCTAGAAATATACTTTTTTTTTTTAAATGAGGGATGAGATTCTGATGTAATCACATGACTCCAAAAGTTGGGGCCCAAGGCATGGATCTCTAGTGCTTATGTGTTAATCTGGCCTTGTGTGAGAATTATCACTGTTTTGAGAGAGAAAAATAATGCTATACTGAGACCAGTACTGGCAGGACATAGCATACTGAAACTCTCTGCATCAGTAACTATATTTTCTTGGCATAGTGAAAGACAGGGAATAGAGGAAACTTATAATGTAAAGATAATTTGTGTTCTTATTCAACAGTCTCTACAGGATGGCTATTATTGATATAAGATTTCATATCTGCTGAACAATAACCACCAGCTGCGATAAAACTCATCATTGTCACCCCTGCTATAACTACAATTCAGATGCTATTTTCACCCTGTATGAATCAATACTATGTCAATATACACTGTGTTTTAAATAGGTCTTGGGGACATTGTTCAGAGCTCTCTAAGTGAATTCAGTGGAATCTGAACAGCCTGGCCTGGGGAAATGGGGCTAAAGAAAAGATACAAATGTAAAAATCCAAATGTTAGAGCAAGATGTCCAAACCTATATGAAAGAATTAAGCACTATCCTTAAAACATACATGCCTAGTGCATGCTAACCTCAGTTTATCCATCATTCTGATGCTTTGTCTTTTAAAATGTGATGCCAAACTCCAAATCAGCTCTGTCAAATTTCAGTCTGTTTTTCAAAATTGCTCTTAGCCGTGGCTCGGCATGACATGTGTGTGATATTGCTCCCAATCAAAGATAAAATCATTACATTTTTTTTTAATCAAGAAAAGTAAATGAATGTGTTTGTGGAATTGCAGGCAGGGATAATATCTGGCTCCTTGTTCTATACTTACCAAATGTGTTTCCTGTTGCCTTCTAAGTAGCGTTTACCAAAATACTGTGAATGGTTAATGTGCAGATGAAATGTCAATAAAGATCAAAAGGAGGAGTGAAGACAATGATTTATTTCAATATGTAAAGGCTAGTGCTTCTATATGGAAAACTACTGCAGCCAACAGCCCCAAACTCTGATTATTGCTATCTGCCTACATTCAAAAGGCGGGGTTTGCATGAAGGCGGGAGGCTTTGCTTCTATCATGTTTTTGTTAAAGAGCTTAGTTCTGCCTATGCCCAATGTTTAATGCAGCCAGTTTGGAGAAATTACTCGTCAATTAAAATTCTATAAAAATAAACTGACATTATCATAATCCTCCTTACTAGGAAATGTGTACAGTTAAGAGCTTTATCATCCTGGCCTCTGACAAAATCCTGCAAGACTCGTGGCTGTGGTATTAATTGATTGGTGTCATTTATAGGTAATCTAACAACACTGAATAATTTATTTTCCAATGACACATGCTGAAAATAAATGGTTGCTCTGATAAGTGCATAGCTTTGGAAGGAAGTGTACTACACAGGGCTTCAGGTAAAGATTAAGGTTCAAAGATCTCTTTCAGAATCCTCTATTATTCGCTTTAGTATACAAGGCTTTCATTACAGTAGAGGTGCATAGAATTCAATATCCTTTTTCAAATCAGATTGTCTGTTATGAATTTTAAAAGTCTAGAACATGGATACATGAGAACAGGAAATGTACAATGTATAGCACAGCCTTGCAAATCACCATAAAAATTGACCAGTTGAGGCACAAAATCTGTTTTCCACTCTTTTACGTGGTGCAGATGAGGCAGAAAAAGAAAAGATTTAATCACTTGTCCAACAAAAATTATACACCTTAATTGACTGTGAAGTAGAATTTTGCAAGAATCACTTAGTAGGAAGTGGCTCTCCTTATTAATCTACACCATTTTCCAAGCCTCATGGATAGTCCTAGTTCATCTGCTCACACGTCTCAAGATTTTAAACACCAAAGAGCAGGAAAGACTGAGGTCATATAGAACATATAACCTATCTGTGCTATTCCTATGCTTTGTTTAAAAAAGAAAAGGCTAATGTGATGGCCTACTAGATAAATGGCTATATGTGATGGCCTAATGTGACAGCCACACTATAATGTGATGGCCTCCGGGGGAAGGCACACAGTTAAAGCAAAATCTGTTTACTTACAAACATATACATGTAGTGTTCACAGTAGAGGCTCATGCACTCATGTAAATGGGTGGAACCCTGAGCCCACTGACTTCCGTGGGGCCAGGATTTCATTCAATGTGAATTCCAATGTGAATTCCAGGAAGGACTTACATCAGTGAGTCCAAAATATCCTAAACCTAGAACCTCTCTTTTTTTGGTACACTAAAATGCAGAATGACAGAATTCCTGTAAATTCAGTCTTACTGGTAAAATTAACTATATGCATGTGTCTTATAATAAGAATGATCATGTGCATTGGAAGTGAAAAGCCTTATAGAATTAAATAGGAATTAAGTCAACATAGAATGTAGGACTCTTCCATAAGAGTAGCATTTCTAGAGTGGTACACATTTGAGTAGAATGCTGACTGCAGCCAGCAGGTCCAGCCTTGTTTCCAGAGAAGTCAGCGGCAAAACTCACATTGACTTCCTTCAGTGCTAGATGGACTTCAAGGTTTTCATTACTCACACCCTGAATATAAACATCATTTATATCTGACTGAAAAAATGTGACTTTATTATTTTAAAGCATTTACCAATAAAACAATCCTCACTAACATCTGATTGCTCCGTTTTTCCACTGCTATGCACATCGGAGCATAAATGAGTACAAGTTCAACTGATTTTGTAAGTGGTGTAATACACGGGGCAATACATGGTTTGGGATGAATAAAACATTATACACAATTTGCAGGGCCCAGGATCTCATTGTCTTACCATTAGTGCAGAGTAAAGCATGTAAAAGCACATTGTATGACAGACTGAAATATGTGGAGACAATTCTGTATTAGGCTGTAATAAGCATGTTAATTAGAATCATAGAATATCAGGGTTGGAAGGGACCTCAGGAGATCATCTAGTCCAACCCCCTGCTCAAAGCAGGACCAATCCCCAATTAATTCATCCCAGCCAGGGCTTTGTCAAGCCTGACCTTAAAAACTTCTAAGGAAGGAGATTCTACCACCTCCCTAGGTAATGCATTCCAGTGTTTCACCACCCTCCTAGTGAAAAAGTTTTTCCTAATATCCAACGTAAACCTCCCCCACTGCAACTTAAGACCATTACTCCTTGTCCTGTCATCTTCTACCACTGAGAATAGTCTAGAACAAACCTCTTTGGAACCACCTCTCAGGTAGTTGAAAGCAACTATCAAATCCCCCCTCATTCTTCTCTTCTGCAGACTAAACAATCCCAGTTCCCTCAGCCTCTCCTCATAAGTCATGTGTTCCAGACCCCTAATCATTTTTGTTGCCCTTCGCTGGACTCTCTCCAATTTTTCCACATCCTTCTTGTAGTGTGGGGTCCAAAACTGGACACAGTACTCCAGATGAGGCCTCACCAATGTCGAATAGAGGGGAACAATCACGTCCCTCGATCTGCTGGCTATGCCCCTACATATACATCCCAAAATGCCATTGGCCTTCTTGGCAACAAGGGCACACTGTTGACTCATATCCAGCTTCTCGTCCACTGTCACCCCTAGGTCCTTTTCCGCAGAACTGCTGCCTAGCCATTCGGTCCCTAGTCTGTAGCGGTGCACTGGATTCTTCCGTCCTAAGTGCAGGACCCTGCACTTATCCTTGTTAAACCTCATCAGATTTCTTTTGGCCCAATCCTCCAATTATTATTGTTCATTCTTACAGTAATCCTGGATGCCAGCATGGCTGTCAGAATAGCCTAATTTAACCAATAAAAGAATAACCACTTTCCCTAAACACTTTTCCCATTAACTCAGCTCATAAAGAAACAATCCTGCTCCCCTTCCCATCCAGGGTCAGGGAAAGCCCTAAATGCAGTAGAACAACCTTATTTCTGCCATGCAGGGGCAGACTCTCAAGAGGTCAAGCCTGCATGGGGAGGAGTGTACGTCAGTCCATTGATTGCAGTAATAACTGTGCTGGTGCTCTGTGCTACATAAAGTTCAGTCCATCCTCCCACTGAACCCAAAGATCCCTTACACAAGGCCAGTTTACTCAGGCTCTGAGCTCTAAAATGTGAATATTTGACTCTACAGTAAGAGCCAAACAGCCATGGGAACCTCTTCATCCTTCTGCTTCCTGCATATTTCCCCTCTAATTCTGCCCAGGGCAGGTACCAGCTCTCACATTCCAGGAGCAAAGTAGGATTTTTTTTTTTCATTTCAATTTTGGCAGAGAATAGCCATGCCCTTTCTACTTGCCTGTCCATGAAGCTCTGTTTTACCTCCCTTAAGCCCTTCCTCTTCATCTTTATCATAGAGCTAAGGTTTAGGGAAATGGAAAATTTCCCCCTGGGTTTTTGTATTGGACTGTCACCAGTACCTACCCTCAGGCCCAGATGTATGCAAAATTAAATTAATAAGCTTGTATTGAGATGGATATACCAAGTGTTCAACAGTTATGGCCTGTTTATAAACTTTTGTAAAGGAAGTGTAATTTGGGGGCCCGGGGATGGATTACCTGGACTTGACTGAAATATACTTTTCATCCTTTCACTTTTTAAAATCTAAGTGTATTCTTTGGGTAAAGATAGTTAGATAATATAGGCAACATCCTCAGTGGCTGTAAATTAACATAGCTTTATGATCCTGTATATACATACATTAGAGATGAGCCCAAGGTGCAAAGTGGATCAAGAGTCAAACTTTCCCAACACTTGAGAGTGTTCATATCTGTGGTTACGGATTTGAGGTGGTTATAGAAAACTTATGCCTGGCAGTTATTTGGGCCTTGTATTCCGCTGTCACTCCCTTTCCAACTCACTATAAAGAGAAATTGTGGTTTGCATATGTTTCACTACCCTTTACACATACATGTTATCAAGCCAAAAAATTGTAAAGTATCCATTAACTTGGGGGTATACTGCATCTCAATTTTGTGTACCCAGTTTGAGACACATGGGCCCAATTTTTACAGGTATTGAACATCCACAGTTCCCAATGTCTTCAACTGAACTTCTGAAAAAAAGGTCCAGTGACTCTAACTGGAACACATCAAACCACTGATCACTTTAAAAAAATAGTTTACCTCTTCTCTAGCTGCATTGACCTTAAACTGAACACTTAGCTTTAGCTCAGAGTTATAGAACGCTCAGCTGGTATCAGATTCTATTTGACAACTGGCAACTTTGGTTCTTGGATATATGTAAATGGGAAATGTTTCTATCGGTTCCAAATGCATTTTCAAATTCCATTTTTGCTCAGAATATTAGTGGGTGCTACTCCTGGTGCCTCAGAAGTATTTTTGCTCACTTTTATTGTTATATACCATTTATTTAGGTTGTCACAGGATGTTGTTTGTCTGTTTGGTGTAGTGTGATTAAGAAGGCCTAAAATCAGCGGAAAGACAAAGAAATGTGCTCCAAATGTACACAGTGGGACAAATCTTCTGCCCAGTGCCTAACCTGAGTACTTGGGTTGAGCATTGAGGTGACTAGCAGGTGCAGGGGATGAAGGAATCTTCCTTCTATGGCTGCTACTGTAGCTTCCCACCACAGTCTCCACTTGGGTAGTGGAAACAGCTGCTGGATCTCTGTAATTATGGAGTCCTGACACCACTGGTTCACCAGCCTGCCTCCAAATCCTTGTATTTGGCACGGATGCAGAGAGTGCCCCCCATACACACACACACAGAGCTAGGCTTTACATGCCGTAGGGGGTGTACACACCTTGCAGGGGCTGTCAGAATTCTGCCTCTCCAACATGTTCGCCCAGCCTGTGGAGAAGAGAGCAGGATTTGTTCCTTAGCACAGAAAAAGTTTAAGGTCTCAAACACAGTCTCCTGTCACAGCAAGACACTGAGATTATTCTGTTTCAGGTTGCAGGGCCATGTGACCCTGTTTCAACCAATAGCTATAATAGTTGCCATCATCTACTATTGACCATGTAGGACAAAAGCGCAAGGAGTTTTGTTTGCTCGATAATGACAAAACTAGTTATAGAGCAAATGTACCATACAAAGCAGGCTTAATAATTAAGCAATTGGACAGGATAGACAGCAAATGTCTACACATTTTTTTACATGCCTCAGATTGCATTTGAAGACATATGGACAAAGATCAAGCAATTTTAACTA